CTGCGTAAACTGTCAACATTGAATTCGTTGATGATAATGTCATCGGCGATTTATTTCTAAATGGGTATATAAAGTACCCACACATGTATGTACATTTATGTATATATGGATAATAAGCCAACAAACAGTATTCAGAAAAATAATTAAAGAAATTAACATTTACTGTTCCCGATTACATTGATAATTTTCATACATATTTAACATAATATGATGTACACACACATGCATTTAAATAGCGACTTTTCTCTGCGACGGTGGTCATTTTATAGTAATTTACTTTATTGTTGACCCAATAACTTTCACTATAATTAACAATAACTTTAACCATAATTACGTACATACATATATATATATATATATATACAGATGTATATGCAATACATTTTGCCCCACTTTTACATTATCTTAATGATATTAAAGAGACAAAGAACTTACCAAATATCAGCTGATGCTCCAACCAGCAATTGTACACAGTCTAAACAGCCGCGTGCTGCCGCATAATGTAAAGCTAATGCGCCTCCATTAGGCCTTTCAATGGAAGAAATACTTCCCGTGGAGTCATGCGAGTCTAATTGGTGTGAATGCATCTGGTTGTCGTTCTGGATTGGGCAGCTGGCAGCGTTACCTAAGTTCCTGCTAACACTTCTGCTGATCACCGAAATGAGATCACGTCTGTAAGAATGAAATTTTATTATTAGGGCTGGTAAAAATAGGCTAGAAAAAACTGAAAACAAGCACTATGAATAGCTCGATAAATTACCAAAACATGCTCTTCTTCAACATGCTAAATCAATGCAGTTTTTCAATATCTGTATTAAATAATCTCGGAATTGCAGTATAAAATAACATACTTTTTTAAGCTATTAGTAGAAAATGACATTCTCTGGCCTCAATGCTGCTGGAGTGTACTTTGATATATGGGCACACTGCATTATATATTTACTGCTTTACAAATAGCAGTAATCAGTTAAATTTTCCTGATAATTAAATTTAATAATGAATTACCAGTAAACTTTAATTGATTACTAAAAAAATTTTCAGTAAAAATATTTTTTTACTGATTACTGGAAAAAATTACAGTAAAAATATTTGCTTACTGATTACTGAAAAATTTGCAGCAATAATATATCCTTACTGATAACTGGAAAAAAAAAATAGTTACTGGTAGTTAAAAATCAATACCCAACCACTAGATTCCATGAATTATTAAGGAAAATGCGAAAATTTTTTTTTTTTTTGAAACATGTATTTTATACTTGTTAATCGCTATAAGGTTTTCTTAAAACCAGCATTTCAAAAGTTGCATCGCTGAGTTTTTGCCTTCTGGACCGGTTTACAATCCAAGCGAATGAAAACAATCGTTCTACAGGTGCAGATGACGATAATTGGCATATTTTGTTCGCAAATGTAATCTGTATCATTAATGCAATAATTACTATTGCAATTTAACGCATTAATTTTAATATATTTAACTTATTAATTTTTATAATGTAGCACTTTAAACTTTTAAAACCGAATTACATTGGAATCACATGTTTTATTCATTGATGGCGCAAATGGAAAATATTACAAACAAGTAAGAAAGTCTAAGTTCGGGCGGAGCCGAACATTAAATACCCGGCGCAAGTATTAAATATATAGTTTTCACCTTTCCGAAAGCTACCGCTACATGGTGTAACAATTTTGAGTAAATTAGCGTCTTTAAATTTCGAAATATTGAAGTTTCAAGCATTTCTGAAATTTGCCGTTATATGAAAAGAGGCCGTAATTTTAGTCCGATTTCAATAATTTTCAACGCTTTGCTTTTATGTGGCAAGCACAATAGCCATACCGAGTTTGGTACAAATTGGTAGAACGGTTACCGAGATACATATGTGTGATCATAAGTGGGCGGTGCCACGCCCATTTTCCAAAATGTTATCATAAACGTATTTCTTGGTAAAGAATTGTTGCAAGCATCAATTTTGAATAAATTAGCTTTAATATTTACTGATTTATCGAAGATTTTGTATTTTTGAAAACTACCGTTATATGGGAAGTAGGCGTGGTTATTGAGCGATTTGGTATGTTGTGCGAAGGCCAACAACTGTGCCAAGTTTGGAAGAAATTGGTGCAGCGGTTACCAAGATATACACATGTAACCATAACTGGGCGTGGCTACGCCCATTTTCCAAAAATGTATAATATTCTTATTTTTCGTCTAAAAATTATTGTAAATATCAATTTTGAGTGAATAATCTTCAGTAGTTACTAAAATATCGCAGTTTTCGTATTTCTGGAAATTACCGTTATATGGGAAGTGGGCGTGGTTAAAGTCCGATTTCGCCCATTTTCAATACCAACCTACCTTGGATTAAGGGAAACCTACATACCAAATTTCGTTGAGATATCTCAATTTTTGCTCGAGTTATCGTGTACACGGACAGACGGACACAGACATGGCTTAACCAACTTCTCTATTCATTCTGAGCATTTATGTATAATAATAATAGATTGGCGCTTACACATATGTTAGTGTTTGGCCGAGCTTCTCCTCCGATTTGTGGCGTGCGCCTTGATGTTGTCACACAAAGCGGAGGGACCTACAGTTTTACGCCGACTCCGAACGGCGATGGTATTTTTATGAGAAGCTGTTTTTCATGGCAGAAATACACGCGGAGGTTTGCTATTGCCTGGCGAGGGACGACCGCTGTTAAGAAAAAACCTTTTTTCTATATTTTTTGCGATGTTGCTTTGACCAGGGTTTGAACCCAGGTGCTGCGGATTGGAAGTGCGCACTGCTTACCACTACACCACAGCGGCCGACATTTGTGTATACATTTGTCTATATCTATCTCGATTCGTTTTGACTGTTACAAACAACCGTTATGCGAACAAAGTTAATATACCCGTGTGCACAAGTGCGCTCGGGTATACAAATCTATAGTCAAGCGAACCTGACTTGTTGATACCCTTCTTAAATTAAGGTACACTTATTATTATATTGAAATAAACTTTATTAGACACACGGACGGAAGAGGGTGAATTATTCTGATGAAGCATGATTCAATAATAAAAGGCTTGCTCAAAAAGCAGTTTTCTCGCTCCCTCTTGACAAAATCGGCTCCCTTAGCAAGGCACTATATGTGGGTTCGTGTAAGGGAGCTAAGGGAGTGTCAAAACTCTAATGTCAATAATGAGCAAACCTTTAATTATTGAAACATGCTGATGAAGCACTCCTTTAATGTTATATAAATATGTGTAGCGTGCAACAATTGTTTATTGGACTGTTTTTCTCTTTGCTTCTTCATACTTTTATTTTGTTTGGATTGTACGACAGTTACAGTTATGAGGTTATGATTTTGTTATATCGCACACTAAATACAAAGACTCAAACTCAAGATTATTCATAGTTTATATCTCATAATAAACATTTATTTTAAGATTATATTTCACACAAGGTGGACTTTCTGATGGAGTGCAATAACGCCCGCGGAAATAACGCCCATGAACTTTATTTCCTAAAAAAATAAACAAAGCCCGCGGACGTTATTGCCTTTCGCCGGTGGACATTATTTCGATTTTGATATGGCAATAACGCCCGCGGGCCTCATTTCCTAAAAAATTTAATAAAGCCCGCAGGCGTTATTTCACCTTTATTGTGCCTCTAGTCTCCATTTTAGAATACATCCAAAACCCCCTGTTCTAAATAGAAACTAATATGATAACATTGAATTGAATTGAATTGGTTTTCCTTTATTATAAGAAGAAATTGAAATTAACTAATTTCAGTGCATATATCTAATACATATCGAGGGCTTATATTCAATACCCTCTATCTGCAAATTTGATGAAAATGAGTTTTTGATGGTAACGTGAGCTCTTATTTATCCTTCAGCCATGACAATAGTATCGAACTTAAAATTTTGCTTTTATGGTATTATATTCTCATTTAAAAAAATCCCCTATCTGTAATAACATTTTGTGACAAGAGCAAAATCCTCTATCTACACAATTTTGCTGGAAAATCGTTGTTATTAGCATTTCTTGTGTCAGGTCAAATAAAGACTGGGTAAGTTACATGTGCCTATGTATGTATGTATACGTTCCGGTGAAATCCGATCTTAGGTCAAACTAGTTTTGCCCAGGCTAAACTAGTTCTACCTCTTGCCGGTTTGGCCGGTAGCTTACATATATATGTACATGTCCGCTCATTTACTACAATAATGTCATAACTCAAAAATCAAAACTCGAGAAAAACGGCTTTAAAGTTTTGAATTTACATACATATACTCCGATACTAAAAATTAATACATATTTCATTCTAGTGAGATTCTGGTAATCGATACAGCTATGACACTTTTACACGAAATAGAAGAAGACGTAGCGATAATTTCTGCATACTCAACTCAAAATTTGTATTTTTTGGATTATGACACTACTAAAGTATATGAGCGATGTGTATATGGTTATTTGCCTCCACTTGGTCCGAGGATTCCCACAATTCTCTCTTACTCATATCTATTTAAGAGTTTGACGCAACCATCTCTTTGATGACAGGCAAAAGCCCCGGTGCAGACAAAATCCCGTACCCCGTTCTAAAAAGTCATCCGTATCCCGTCAACTGTTATTTATTAAAAAAAAGAAAGTGACAAGCGAAATTATTTTGTTACTGCTTCAAACAAAAAATTATTTAATTCCACGCACGATAGGAAACCCAACTTTGGGCTTCTGCTAAAGCTACTGCGTTGCGTTAAAATTCAAAATTTGTGTGTGGACTGATTTATAAATAGTATTATAAAGGTATGTGTGATAAGATTTAAAGATTTTTGTTTTTCTATTTTTGTCGTCGTAATTAGTCACTTTATCCTTATGTGCATCGGTTAGAAAACACGTATAAACCCATCTCTCATTTGACACGAAATTCCAAAATACAATAGCGCAGTGGCAGTGGCAGTGACAGTTTTAAAAATCAGCTGTTACTGCTAAACACAATACGGCGTTGTCAGTGACTGCTTTTTTGACATTCCCTTTTTTTTTGTTTACATTTTTGTTGTTGCATCTTAGGCTGCAGTGACATCAACAAAAGTTGGCTGCGTTTCATTTATGTCAAATTTAATATGCGAAGTTTGCTGCGATGAAGGCAGTGGCAGTGAATTTAGAATTTGAGCTTAACTGAGCTGCTAGCTGCCACTGCGTTATTGTATGGGCAGAAGTGAAAATAGGCTGGTTTTAAGTTTGAACTATTACTACATATAATAAATTCGAAAACAAATGTCGAATAAAAACAGCAGTGCGCTATAAAGGCAGAGGTATAAACGCTTGAAAGAAATGTGTTGAGTCTAATCGGTTTTTTTGTTAATGCGGTTCTTACGTAGGAAGGTAAACGTTTTCTCAAGACTCTATCGTTTGACACCAACAATGAAAATTTAATTTAAATTATTAATCATGAGAATTGAATTCAAGCTTTTAAACAGCTGACAATCCTTTTCAAACATGTTTTCGAAATAAAACTTTTTTTAAATCTTTTGTTTGGCACCTATTATATTGTAAAATTTCGTAGAACTTAATAAAATGTAAGTTAACCCTTTAAACAGTTAAACCAATAGTAGAATTCGCGCTACTGTGTATTCGTTGTATATTACGTAAGTTTAACTGAATGATCATGTGTGATTTGTTGTTGCTACTGATGC